CCGCAGCTCCCCATCTCCTCTGAAAAGAAGGGGTGGGCTGCCTGAAGGCATTCTGGAGGCTGGAGTTGCACCACATTGTGTGAAGATCTGTCAGTTCTCAGCTCTGAGATATGTCCAGTGAAGTGGGCAAGCAGTGCAGTCAGCGCATGGCCCCAGTTCCAGACATGGATGTAAACCCAGAAGGGCCTTGCTGCCTCTATGGGAGCATTCAGGTTTTTTCCCCATGTGTAAAAGGAGATGGACCTAAACCAAGATAACTTCAAACCCCCCCATCAGCAAGAATCCTGACACCTCTGTGGTGACATGAATTTTTTTATTTTAAGGACCAGGACCAATGTTTGTCCCTGCCTATGCATCCTCTGTGAGGTCCTCTGCACATCATGTGAATTCCCAGTGGGCAGCTTTCCCTCCTGCAAAGCAGGACAAGCCATTTTGCCTTTGTTTTGCCACCTCTCTGCAGCACCTTGTTAGCCTGTAAGCCTTCGTGTGCACAGCCTTTTTCTCACTGTCGATGCAATGGCAGAGGGGTCAAAGACTGTGTATTTTCCGTGCACTATAAAGTGGGATGAGTGGGATTTGCTACAGTGGGCTGGCCTAAAGTCCGCTGGCTGAAAGTGACTGTGAACCACCTGGAGTAAGAGCCTGGCACCTCAATGTTCGATCAGCTCCACCATCTGGGGTGGTGAATCACCCATGGGAAGAACATATTTCTCTCCACTGACCATGGAGTGACCCTAAATGTGACACCCACCTCTCCCTGGGCCAGACAGACCCTGACCTGCCTGTGGGTGCTGCTGTCTGAGGTGGGAGGCAAAGGGCAGGTGTAAAGGGAATGGGCTCTCCAAGCTGTGGTGAGGGATCAGCAGATCTTCAAATTCCATCTGTGGTTTGTGCGGTTGGTGGGGAAAGATGCGCAGCCCCAGGAAGTAACTCACAGTAAAGCTCCTGCTCTGAAATGCCGTGCAAGAGGGACTGCCTTTCTCCAGCGGCTCTGGAAGAAGCCTCAGATGGGTTGGGAGAGCACCAGACCCTTTGAACTCCCTTGGCAGGGCAGTGTAAATGCCTTGTTCAGCCAGGACGTGTCCAAACCCTTCTGTGTGGGGCAGCCCTCTGCTACCCCGGGCTGGGAGGGGAGGTGACTGAGGTGCCGTGCCAGCCTTCCGGTACCTTAGGCTGCTCAGAAACATGCACTGCAAATCATGTCCCCTCTGAGGTTCAGGGGAGGAAACTGGGGGTGCTGAACTTCCTCATACTTCCTCAAAAAATAGGATTTCTCCCAGCTCTGATGATACCAGACACAACTGGGTATTTCATTGTTGCTTTTTATGCTGTAAAAACATTTGTACTCTCTCACTATGCACATACGTGTAGAAAAAAAGAGCTGTACATAGAGTACGAGTGCTTTCAACTTCATGTAATCTCCTGCTGAATTTGATCAAAACCTCAGAACGTGAATTATACAGACAGTAGTAAAAAGACAGCACAGATCCTTTATTTTGGCTGCTTCAAACCCAGAATATGAATAGAAGGCTCTGCTTTATTTCAATGATGATAAAAGGCAATCTTCAGGTCTTAAATTTGAAAAAAAAATACAAGCTGATGCTCAGGTTGATAGGAGCTATTGTATTGTAGAGGAGTAGAAAATGGGAGCAGGAGTAGGAGTAGAGAAATGAAAAGGTGGAGTGTAGGAGGAGGAGGGTGGGAGTAGAAAATGAATTGTGGTGCATCCATCAGCATTTCAGCATTGTGGGAGATGAGATAAACCTAATGCTGTCATTTGTAGATGCAGTAAAATTTCTTGTACTGAGCCATCACTGTGCTGAGCTGTTTGAGGAGCAGGAAGCTCCCCTCAGCAGCTGAATGGGTGGGTTTGTTCACATGACATTGCCTAAGGGCGGTCAGCAGTGTTGGAGTGCACTAGATCAGTGCAGACAGGGTTAGACACTTTTATTGTGCATGGCATGTTACTTTTTGACTCTAAAATCTGTTGATTCAATCCCCAAATTCTTGACAGAGAGAAGAAATTCTAAAAAGAAAAGTGGCAGATCACAGTGTGTGGACTGGGGCCCTACAGAAGAACTCACTCACCTGGGTGGTTCTGCCCAAGTCAGAGCAAACTACCAGGATTACTCATCCCAGGAAAGTGCACAGCATCGTCTCATTGGCCTTCATCCTTCCTCCAACCCTCAGCAGACCTGGTCCCAGCTGTTGGCATGCAATAGCCAAAATCTCTGCAGCTCAGCTCTGCCTGTTGCGTTGTGAGTCACAGGGCCCCACTTGCTGAGCAAATGCAGCATTTGGAAGGTTCTGGTATTATCTTCTCCACCTGCATGTCCCTCACATCTCATTGCAAACTGCTGTCTGCACTCCCTGTATTCACTGCTGACTTTTGAGCTGCAAGAACAGCAGTGACATGGGGCACAAAGGTGGCAGAGCCCTGCCGAGAAGATGAGGGGAGCGACAGAAATGTAGTGTAGGGCCAAGAAAGGAGAATGCAACCTCTATCCAGCAGAATGACCTGGGCTTCCTAAAATTCCCCAACAGTAGCCTTCCTCCTGGTTTTCACAGTTAGCGTCTGACAAAGAGAAGATTTTTTTTTTTCAACATCTGCATATACCAATAGAGTTCAGGGAATAGCCTCCCTACTTTGGACAAAGTAGAGAGAGATGACTGCAAGATTAAAAAAAAAAACAAAAAACTCCTTAGAAGAAAGCCTGGGTAATAAATCCACTTCCTTTAGCAGGATGGGTGCCAATCTGGCTCTTAGACCCCCCTTTTATTTTTTTTCAGACACCAAGGAAAGAAAAAGAAAATGTTTCTGTGTTCTCAAGCACTTCTTTTGTTTTGGCTCCCATTTAAACACATCCATTCGCTGCGCGTCCCTGGCTGCTTCTCACCATTATATAACCTCTGCTTCTCCAAGGCAGGGTGCTCTCCCTTATTGCAGGGCAACTACTGCAGCCGAGTTGTGTAACACTGCCACATAAAGCTGTTCCAAGCTGAAACGTGGCATGCAAGTTATTAGGTTGAACTGGGACTACATTGCTTTCTTTGATTTTCTTTGTTTTTTTTTTTCTTAAACTGAAAAAAAAGCCTGAAAAAAAGGTGTTTTCTAAAATCCGTGGGCTAAACAATAGAAATTTATGGGTTGAATCCTTTAAAGGATTTACAAAACACAGAAATGACTTAAAGGCAAAGCAACTCCTAAATCTGATGAGCAGCCAACCTATAATAAGATATAATCACCTTTGGCATTTGGTAAAATAAACATGACAAAACCAGTGCTTTAAAATGTGATCAGTTACTATGCACTTATGTATATTTTGCACAAACTGTATAGTTAGGTGTCACTGCGTATCTTAAAAAGCACTTTCATAATAGACAGCATGAGTATCTAGATGTATGATCTGCCACTAAATTACATACCGTGGCCTAAATCCAGTCTTGAATTCTCTCCCCTTCATTATTGTTACTCATTTTCAGAAAATATTTTTATAGGAACAATGAACTGCATTTAAATGACATTAACACTTTCTGCCTTGATGTAGAGAGGAGGGAAGGGTAACAGGTTTTCTGGCTCAGCTTTGACAGTTACCCAGCTCTGGTGGTTCATTGACATGCAACGTCAAATGCCATGGCTGGTTGTGAATTTTGTGACTTACAAAGCCATGCCTGAAGTATGTTTTTTAAAAGCACTCCTCCTACTGAAAACAAAACAGATTTTCTAAAATGTACTATTTGCCAGTTTGAACAAGGTGTTGAGTCACGTCTCATCCTTGGGATTATTTCCCTGGCTTAGGCAAATGTCTTCTTTTTAAGTTTAAACAGAATAACACTTCTGTGTTAAGTCGAACATGTATATATCTATATATATCTTCGTATGTTGATGGGCAGGGGAGGCAGAGGCGATGTGTCCTGTGACTGTTGCCTCAATTGAAAGGGAAGAATACCATCTTTAATGAACTAAGTAGCCCTGGAGTTTGCCGGGAAAAATATAAAGTCTGTTCAATAGTTGACTTAGGAAGAAATTATCCCGTGCTCCGTGCCTCCTCACGGAATAAAACACCAGCTCACGGAATGAAAGCATGCTCAGCCGAAGGGGAGATTTATCACTTCGGGAGGTGCAGACACTTTTTGGCGAGGAGCCGGCCAGGGAAGGAGGGAGCGGGGGGAGGGAGGCAGGGCAGCTGTCGCACCCCCGGTCCGGCATGCGGTGCTGCCAGGGCCCCCGCGGGGCGGGCAGCGGGGCGGCAGCAGCGCTCCGCACGGAGCCGGCGCTGCCGGGATGCCGGTGGGAGGGGGGAGACGCCCCCCCGCTCCCGCAGCCGCCCCCTGCAGCCGGGGGATGCTCGCAGGTCCCCGCTCATCCCCGGCGGCGACACGCACCGGGCCCGTCGATGCGGGAGGCATGACTCCGACGGCAGCGACTGAGGTAGAAACACTCGCGGGGGAATTTTCCGTGGCCACCCCCCGCGGCTCACCGGCGAGCACTTACTGCCTTTGGGCAGCCCCGGCCGCGGGGGGCACCGCCGCCTGCCCGCTCGCCCCTTCTCTCCCCGCTGCGCCGCCGGGAAACAAAAACCACCCAGAAGCAGCACGGGGGGCACCGGCACCCTCCTGCCAAAGCAGCCCCGCGGCGGGAGGCGGGCGGCGGCGCGGCGCTGCCATTGGCGCGGCGCGGGCCGTCCCTCCCCGCCGGGAGGAGGAGGAGGAGGAGGGAGGCTGGAGGCGGGCCCGCGCGGGGCGGTCGCTCCAGTCGGTGCGCGCCGGGCGGCCGGGTCGCTGCTGCTGCTGCAGTTGCCGCGGAGGGCAGGGATCCGGGAGCCGGGCAGGGGCAGGGTTTAGGGCGGCGGGACCGGGAGGTCAGACCGGAGGTCTAGGGCGGCGGGGCCAGGAGAGTTTACGGTCGCGCCGTCGGTGCCGCGCCGATCCGCGCCCGGAGCCTGCATGGGGCGGCGGCGCTGAGCCCAAGCCGCCCCGCTCCCGCCGCGCTCCCGCCCCGGCCCCGCCATGGCCGAAGCACCGCAACTGGTGGACATCGACCCCGACTTCGAGCCGCTGCCGCGGCCCCGCTCCTGCACCTGGCCTCTGCCGCGGCCGGAGTTTAACCCTCCCAGCTCGGCCACTTCCAGCCCGGCGCCGTCGTGCGGCGGGCAGCCCGATGGGGCGGCCGGAGCCGCAGCCGGGGCCGGGGCCGCCGCCTCGGGAGCGCTGAGCGCCGACTTCATCAGCAACCTCAGCCTGCTAGAGGAGAGCGAGGACTTCGCGCCGCTGCCCCCCGCCGCCGCCCCCCCGGAGGCTGCCGCTTGCCGCTGCGGGGACTTCCCGGCGCCCGAGGCCGGCTGCCGCCTCCACCCGCCGGGACCGCCGCCGGTGCCGCCGGTGCCGCCGCCCGTGGCCGGTCTGTCACCGGGCCCCGTGCCCGGGCAGCCCCGCAAGAGCAGCTCGTCGCGGCGCAACGCGTGGGGCAACCTGTCCTACGCAGACCTCATCACCAAGGCCATCGAGAGCTCCCCTGAGAAGCGGCTCACCCTCTCCCAGATCTACGAGTGGATGGTCAAGAGCGTCCCCTACTTCAAGGATAAGGGCGACAGCAACAGCTCGGCCGGCTGGAAGGTAAGAGGCGGGTGGTGGGGGACGCGCCGTCGAAGGGGGGTCCCGGGAGGCTCCGCCGGCCCGGGCACAGCCGCGGCGCTGCAGGCGGCTGGGCACGCCGCCCTCCGCGGCTGCATGATGCCCGCTGCGCAGCCTGCAGTGCTCCGGCTCCGCGCTTTCAGTTTGACCTCACATTTCTACTTTTTTTCACCTTTCCAAAGAGAGAACTCTTAAGGGAGAAATGCGTTCCAGCTCTCCCGCCGCTGGGGCGCTGGAGGGACCGGGGCCGCCCCCCCCCGCTCTCCGCCTCCCCCAGCCCTGCCCCGCCGAAAGCAAAAGTTCACGCGGTGTCACGGCGCCGTCCCCGGGCAAAGCCGGCAGGAGCGGCGCCGCCTCCTGCTGCCCGGGGGCTGCCGGCGCGGCCCGGGGTGCGCGCCCGTGTGCCGGGGGTGCCGCGGGAGCTCCGCCGCGGCCCCGGAGCGCGGCCGGTCCGTGCCGCCCTCCGCCCTGGCGCTGCAGGGCTTTGCCGTCGGGCAGTGGAGCGGGGACAGAGGCAAACAGGGATGGGGAAAGATAGGAGGCAGAACAAGGGTTGCAGAAATACCGTGTGTTTAATGAGTAAGCCGCAGTATTTGACCTGATGGCTTTGTTAAACTCGAGTTGCGGGAGCGCCTTTCTTGTGTTACGTGGTGGGACGGAGCTCCCTCCTTCCCTCTCTCCCACAGCGCTGTCCCTGCCGTCTGAGCGGAGCGGTGGGAACAACCTGTTGGCGGCCGGGATTTGTTCTCAGCCCCTCGCCGGCCGGAGCCGCAGCCGGTGCTGCCCGGAGCCCCGCGGTGGGATGTCCGGGGGACCCGCGGGCACCGGCTGCCCCCCAGGCAGCTGCGGGGCGAGCCAGGCTGCGCTTGGGTCTGTGCGGCCCCGGTGGCAGCACCAGGCGCATAGTACCCTCCAGCTTTGCATCTCCGTGGGTGATAAAGGTTTAGCGCCGCTGCCAATGAATCCCCTCTCTCCGAGGCCTCCGTCGAGAAAGTGTCACCCATCCGTGTCCCTGTGCGCGGCGGAGGCAGCGCCGAGTTTTGTGACAGTTTCGTGAGAGCGTTGTCAGAACGAGCTTGTGCCGTCTGCGTACAGGCAGAGCCTCCTCCGCCCTGCGAGGGATTAAATGACGGCAGAAAATTCGTGAGGTGCGAGCACCTAGCAAGGCATCAGCGCACTCTGCTGTGTTCGGGACTTAGTTCCAGTTAGGGCCAGTCAAACTCTCTGCTTCGCTTTTTAGTATTTGTATTCTCTATCTCTTTTTTTGAAAAAAGTGTGAACTCAAATCCTGCATTTGTCTATTTCTAATTGCGCTGCTAGGAATGTTTGTTACATCGGGTTTTTGTAAATTTCTATTTTTTTAGAGGCAAGCAGTAACTCATTTTTAGTTGAAAGTTTTTAGGGCTTTTGAAAGTAGTTGGTTAGTTTCTATTGATGTGTTTGACTAAAAAATTTAAAGGGTAATTGTCTGAAGACATCTGTCATGAAAACTTTAATAGGAGTGAAGTGATTGATAGCTGACAGCTTTTAAATAAGGTAACTTGTCACTTGAAAGTGGTGCTTTTTTCCAGTGGTATTTTCGTCTCCTTAAGTGCCTTTTCAGAATGAGTAGAAGAGAACTAAAAGCCAAACAAACCAAAATAAAATCAAATGGCTCCCAAGTTCAGGCAAGCAAGTAAGAAACACTGATAGCTGTGTAACTCGGTGCTTCCCGTTTCACTGCTGCTTGTCCCGTGGTGCTTCAGCAAGGAAGAAGTCTCGCACACCTCCCTCTAACAGACTGAGCACATCCTATGCCCGCATACCTCTGCTGTGACCTGGAGAGCTGCTGCTGGTATGATTTTTGGCTGCAGTACCCTCTGGTAGAGTGCAGTACATAGCCTGCCACTGCTGGTGGGTAAATACACATGGACTCCCCTTCCATAATTAAACCGTCACCGTGTTATGCATCGGACACGTGTTGCCCCCATCCCTTTGGCTGCATAACTGCCAGGCTGCCCTGAAAGTTGCATGCTTGCAGGTTTTACTATTCAAGCCAGGGAAGCGCAGAGTTTCTTAAGCACACTTTCAGGTTGAGTTACCAGCAGCCACTGGGTGTCAACGCTGTAACTGGCCCGGCTGAGGCGTGCAGCTCGTTTGCCTTGTTTGTCACCAATTCTCCGCGGCTCAGCGTGAGTGAGGATTACTTTTATTTTTTTTCCAGTTTGGGAGCCGTTGGTTTGCCCGTGGTCTGGGGACCTGCTGTAGGCGTAGGGCTGGGAGCGAAGCCTGAGTCAGCCGAGGGCCCTGCAGAGGAGGAGCATCGCTCCAGAGATGAGCACAGATTAGCGACTGACTTTTCTGCTGACAGAGGGAGCGCGGGTTCGCCTCAGAGCCTGGCACTGACTTAGGGCTGGGAGTACATTGTGCACTGCTGACGCAGGCTGGGAAATGGGGGGATATTTTTTTTTTCCCCCTTAAGTAAAACTTCGAGATGCTTTTTCTTGTTGGGGTTTACATGTTTGCGAGTGCAGTAAGGCACCTTTCAAATTCTTCACAAAATATATGAAACACACAAGAACTGAAGAAGGATTTGCACTTTCTGCATAGTGGCAAGGTGGTGTTTCTCAGGCAGAAGTTGAGGGTTGACTGCTCTAGTGCTTGTGAATATGTACTGCCCTGATTTAATACATGATGTCGAGCTTCTTTTTCATTTTTCATTGAAGAAAGTTCAGAGGTATCAACACTATCTGGTAGCAGCTCAAAACAGCATCCAAGCTCTTCTGAATAAAAACATCAAAATAAAAATGCCTTTTTAAATAAGGGGGTATAAGCCAAAAGTATTAACATACAATTATCAGTAACATAAAATTATTAAAGTAGATAAATTGTTCTCAGTTATACATGCACAGTAGTTTATTCCAGATTTTCTTGTTGCAAACTCTGCTTTTTAAACAAATCCCCTGTTGAACTCGAAGGGAGCAAAGTCTCCATGACCCCCATGGGGTGGCTGCCTTGAATGAAGCACTTGGGATGTGCTCTGCCAGACTTGCTGCATTGTTGGTTGTGAATGAGTGCTGATAGTGACCTGTGTTGCTCAGAGAAAGCCGAAGCAAGAACAAGATCTGCTGCAGAGATAAGAAGGAAATTGTGAAAGTTACATGGAAGAAGGAGACTTTTCTCTAGTGTAGTAGTTAAGTAAAAGCAATGTCTTGCCTTACCTGTGATAGTGGGAGACACAAGGCTTAAAACAGAAGAGGCAAGAACTCCACTGCAGCTGTAGATAACTATTTTTTTTTTCACAGTATGATAGCTTTTTGGCTAATCATCATATATAAAATATAAAACATCTCTGTGATGTGCATATTTCATGATGTCTTTGCTTTATGGCAAGTGTTGAGATTTATTGTAAAGGTGCTGTCACAGTTAAGCTTCCTTGAATGGTCTCATCCTTTCAGTCTGCTTTTGAAAATGAGTTCAAATAAAACCCTGTAATGTTTTTGAACGGGAAACATGGAATTTTGGTGTCACTTATCTGGGGGTGGATGTGTTGTTGATTTTTCTTGGTGGCAAGTGTTAAGATCCCACGGTCACATACACCTCCTTGACTTCTAGTCCCAGGGGAGCCTGTTCACCTGAATTCATTTGCTGCCCTTGTTGAAAGTATGAGAATAGATATCTGACTGCAGAGGGATGAATGGTTGTAAGCCTGAAAGCCTGAGGACAAAACAGGTATGGGACAGGTGCTTTGGGTGGCCTTATCACAGGAGCTCTCTATGGTCAGCACTGTTCTGTAGTGAATTGGTTTCCATGCAAAATGAGTTCTGGGTTGTTCTAGTTCTGTTGTATTTGGTTTGAAAATCACAGGTAGTAACAAATATTAGAAAGACTGAAAAATCAAGAATAATTTTCACTGAATTTTTTCAAAGCTTTTGAACATAGATCAGCAAACAGTTTAAATTGTGGACATTCAGATGATTTATTTAAATTGAAATGAGAATCATAGAGTCATGGAATAGTTTGGATTGGAAGGGACCTTAACGATAATTTTTGTGAGGTTTTTCTTACGATTTTTTTTTCACGTGGGAAAATCACAATTGAAGATTGCCTTTAACTCAGGCTATGTATTCCCTCAGTACTGGTCCATACCTGTGGGCATTTACCTCTGTCCCTTAAGATGCTTCCCCAGGTGATCTGTGGCCCCCCAGCATCATGTGTTGTATTATACATTCATGCAGCACACACAAGCGTATGCAGGTAGAGGTGTGTATGTTTGGCTTTCTGTTTGTGGATTCTGTCAAGGTCAGTGCTATACATGTGGCAAATAGCCTCAAGAGCTGGCAGCTGCAGTTGAGTCTGCTCTGCTGTAACACCTGGCCTCAGCCCACCCTGTTGACAGAAAACTATTTGGTGTCTTGCATACCTGCTCACTGCCACCAAAATGCCTCTTGTAGCAGCCTATGTTGTCTGTCAGTCGCCAGCTTGCATTTTGCTTAGTTTCACGTGTGAAAGTTCAACTTAATTTTTGCAGGGGCAAGGTGCTCTCCTCACCTGTGTCTGAATAACTCATGGCTGAGCTGTGTCAATGCTTTTGAGCTTCCCATCAGGACCTTGAATAATGCTTTAATTTTCTCTTAATTTTCTTTGCCTGTTTTTTGTTTGCTGTGGTATCTGTTCAGTTACTCGTATGATTATAGGTAAGACTAAACACCGGAATGAAATGTGTGAGTGGCTTTGTATAGTGACATAATGAACTAAATTTTCCTTAAGTGCCTTTAAAGAACTTCAATACAAAGACAGTGTAACAGCTCTCTGCCACCGTATTTTTTATGACATGCTCAGCTGCTTCCTTATTATCATTATTTTTGTATCACATGGTTTTACAAGTAGTTGGTGAAGTTGTTTGTTTGGGGAACTGGAGCCTTTGCTGCTTGTGATGGCAAGGGGAAGCAGCGTGGTGCAAGGAGATAAAAGATTTTTAGGTGAGGTATGTGAGGTTGTTT